TTTTTTCTTTTAGAGTACAAAGGCCTCCTCACCAGCAATCAACACCCAGATAAGCAGGGAAGGCACATATGTTGGCTTGACCGCAACTGTACACTGGCCCTTCCTGAGTCCTTGGTGTTGTCTGAGCTTGGTTGTTTTCTTGCAGATGTTTCATTACCCGGCTAGGTAACATCTTCAGTGCTAGAAGGGAGTGGGGTTTGCTCTCTGTTCATATACAGTAGCTTGCCCTATCAGTGTCAGTGGCGATGTTGTTTTCTCCTTGGTAGTTACTTGATTAGGCTGTTGTTTACTGCTTGATTGTTTGTCTGGTGTTAATCCTGGTGTTAATCCCTGCTTATCTGGGTGTTGATTGCTGGTGAGGAGGCCTTTGTACTCTAAAAGAAAAAAACATCCCTTTTGCTATGTCTGTATCATAGAAAATAAATCAACCATATTAATAATAACAAATCAATTTGGTAACAACTTTTGGATTCCTCTACTCACAGCTAGAAGTCCTGGTTTGTAAACGTCTTACTTCAAAGCACTGAGGAAGAGGTTTGAATAAGCAGTATGGTACTTAATTGATGATATAAGCATAGGGAGGCAGTGAGAACCTGTGTCCATTAATAAGAAAGCTGATGGTGGGCATATATGGGATATGGTCACAATTTGTTGTATACTGTGAAAAGAGTGAATACTAAGTGTACGTTAATTTGTGAGTAGGCTACAGGAAAGGTTGGTCACATTACAGTATATCTCCACCAGATGATAGACTCCACAACCTGAAGAAGACTTCCTGTGTACTTCCCTGGGACTGCCAGATAAACCATTCCAGTGTCCACAATTGTCTGGGAGCTATTACTGCACCAACCAGTAGCCTGGTCACCACTGGCAAATCTATAGAGAATAAGAACAGAGAGCATCATCAGGTAACATTTAACAGATGAAGAAAGTGGAACTCATGCATCAATAACCAGTAAAGAGATATGTGAGTGTCCTTAATCTAGATAGTTACATGCAACCATGAATTACTAGAACACTTTAATACTTAAATACTTTTCATAGGCTGTCTTCTCCATTATTTTAAAATGGAAACTATTTTTTAAATGTGTAAACCTTCTTTAGGTTTAACTCAATACAGTACACGAAAGCCACAACTCCCCATCCTTGATAGTCATAAATAAGCATGAAAAAACAGAATACTATAGTATAAAGTCCTCACATAGACTACAACCAAAATTATTTCTTCATTCTAGGACAGTACCACCTTTTAGATGAGTTTTTGCACACCTATCTAAGAGTACACTTACTAAACTTTGTGGAATCTCCTTCTAAACCAATATGTTTAGAACTGCAGTGTCAGTAGGGTTGCAGTTTTCTCTCAAAGACCTGGGATGAAACAGCCATCCCCAGTACAGAGTTTAATACATAGGCCAAATGCATAGCAGCATAGTGTCTGTAGTAAATTATTATGACATCAAAATGATCACTCATGTGGTGACATCATTGCATATTTGCCGTTCTTACATATTTGCATCCTGATGTCTGATATAAGTATGTCAGTAATGATATTATGCATATCATTTGCTCCCTTTGCAGATGCAAAAGATAAGTATATCCTGACAAGTCATAACAAGTGGAATTGTCTTTCTATGTAACTAGAAAAGATACACAGAAAATCATGCCCTCTGTTGCTCTTCTAGTCCCCAGAAAATGCACTAATTGCAGTTTACACTTTCTTAACTGCCCATTCTGAAAAGTGACTATATTTTCTTTATAGGGTTTCATTTGTTCCATTCATAGTTAAGCAAATTATGTACATTCATTTGATCCTTTTTAAAACTTCTTCCTTCAGTGTCTCTTTTATGCTTGGCAGTCACAGGATCTTTCTAAATAAGAATATGCCCTGTGTGGGAGTTTCTACCCGGACAGCACGCTGACGTGTTTCTCGGAGCTCCGAGGGTGCCCGAGCTGTATTTGATCAGCGGTGGGTCTAGAGGAGAGAAGACTACCAAATACCCCCCTGGATGGGGGGGGGGGTTCAGAAGATTAACCACGAAAGCCCCAGATGCTGTTCCTCCTGCCTTTCCTGGTTTCCACCCCGGGAGAGCCGGTGAGTAGAGCAGCAA